TTTAATTTTTCATCAGCATGGACATTATGATTAAATTGTGTTAATGTTGTGCGTATTACATACCTTCATTCTTGTGGCCAGCGAGGTCCGGACTTTAGCTTTGAATTCCATTACGTGACGGGTGTCATTTTCTTTTTCTTGCAAGTGTCCATTGATAAGTCCGAATGTTATAGGATACGTGTTTGAAATAGAAACCTCACGTTCAGCAGACATAACTGTAGTCGCGCACTTGAGTGCCCTGAGGGTTGGCATTGTATCTTCCATGAGCTGCCAGTGTTCGTCTTTTAGCTCCAAATGCCTTGCGTCTTGCAGTTTGGTTACAGATCTATCAGAGAGCACCGCGGTTATGGCCCAGCGCTGTTCCAACAAGCGCTCGAACATCTCTGCGACGCTGTTCCAACGCGTCTTACAGGACTGAATAAGTTTGTGAATTGGAAGCTTCATTTGGTCTTGTTTCCTTTCGAGCGCTTTGGACGCCACTGTGCTGTGGTTAAAATGACCCACAAGCTTTGCAGCTGCTGAGATGACACAATACAAATGTAAAGAAAAACCATCATTTATTGCAAGTTGAAGGGTGTGGGCAAAGCATGGAACAGACTCCCATTCAGCGTCCCTGTTGGCGGCAACAATGTTTTTTGCATTGTCGTGTACACAAGCAGTCACACGGCCCGTGAGCCCCCACTTTTCAATAGATTCTTTGATCTTTTCTGCAAGATTTTCAGCTGTATGGCGGGCAGACATCGATTCAGTTAAAAGCACAAATGATTTTAATTCCCAGTCCGAGTCGATTAAATGGCTAGTGATTGTTAGATAACTTTCCGTGTTCAGTGCAGTCCAACAATCCATAGTAATAGCGATCCATTCCGCTGTCTGTACCAAGTCCTTCACGTTTTTTTTTTTATCCTCGTATCTTCTTTCAATGCGTCTTGTGACTGCAGAGCGTGATAGGACTTTGTATCGGGGTTGAGTTAAAGCCATCAACTCACGAAATCCAGCGCCTTCCACCATGCTTATTGGCATCATGTCCTTCTCAATCATTCGGCAAATACCTTGAGTTATTGATTCGGCTTTTTCGTCATTGCACCTGTTCTGAGCAAGCATCGTGTTGATTGTAGGCTGGGTCGAGGCCATGGTCGATGCACTGCCACTCGCGCAAGACACAGTCGGGTGGTGGCTATTTATGTGGTATAAGAGCGAGCTGGTACTTGATGCATATTTAAGTAAAGCATCACAATACTTGCATTTTGCCGTAACCTTATCCTTTTGTAGGATAAAATGCTCCCACGCTGTACTTTTTCTCCGCTTCATCATGCATGAACATGTGCTATTGCTGCTTCTGTTGTTTTGACCTATGCGTTCAATTGTTGTGTGGCACTTGTCTGGCCTCTAGTGGCGCAAACATGTAAACGCAGTTATTTGGTCAATGTGCGCATACTCGGTCACGTGCTTAATTGCAGTTAATCGATTAATCGGTTAACTATGAACACCCCTAATTTGTATTAGTGTAAACTCTGCTCCTCTGCATTTTAGTTCACCAGACTTATCTAGGGGTTGGAAGGCTATATTTAGTTTAAAATGAGGTATGACCAATTCGATCTTGTTGACCTGGCCTCCCCACGTTTACAGCATAAAGATTGCACTGCTGCACAATCCCTCTTTGTTTGTTTTGATTAGAATCAGAATCAGAATATTTTTTTATTGCCACGTAAGTAACAGGAAGTCACATACTTGGAAATTGCTTTGGCTCAGTGCAACAGTCAGAAAGAGATAATAAAAAATAAAGAATAAAACACTTCTAAGGAATACATTTAAATTTAAAATAGAGTTACAGTTACTATTAGACACATGATTTAAAAACACAATTATTGATATCTGAATATTACTTATTGGATTCTTTGTGCAGTCCGTGTACAGTAGTGAGTGTCCATGTTTGGCTGGTAGCCTCATCGCCTCATTGCTGTCGCCATCAGTCATGTCCACACGGCCAAGAGTCACGTTTGACTCTCATCATTGTAAACATTGTTCTCAAACTGAGACTCTCTTGTGTTGTTCTGCTTCGTTTCTATGTAGAAATGGCCAAAGCACAAAACATGTTAAGAATATAGAATACCAAGGATCTCAATAAATTCTTTATTGAAATATCCTATTACCCAGCTTTTTGGAAAATGTAGTGTTATGGTTAGGATAAATATTATGTTCATAGTTTATTTTGGACTATTGCTTGACAGAGAAGTTTTTCATGCTAAGATGAAACAGCCAGCTGGTATCGAGATACTTTTGAGGTAATGCATTCAAGCGAAGATTTGAGTTTGTTCTCAGAAACCCTGACCCTAAGTATATTGCCTTGTTACTTATTTAATTGATTCAAGAGTTTTCATGTAAGCTCTTTTCAAGTACTGTGAGAAGTCCTGCAGATTCAATACTTTTTTAAAGTCTTGTTCAGTTGGAAAGCACTTCATTTTTGCTCTGTTTTTAATAAATGTCAGATTGATTGGCAGTATATTTGTAAACTTGACTGTGCTTTGAATTTCTATTATGATGCTACACACACATAAATAACAGTAGGAGTTGGTTATATTCTGTGGCAAAATATCGAATCAGGTTTCATGTATGTGATACAGATAGGCGTATTGTTACAACCCTCATAAATATTACTTTTACATTTGTTAAACTGTTTTGCATTAGTTAAGATTCTTTCATTGCCAGAAATATATCCATATAATCCAAAAAAGACAATACTGCAAGTTTGTGGAGAATGACGCTTCAATCAATTTCCTAGTGTTGCAGAACTGTGCATTACAACACTGGAATCTCACAAATCAATTTCTAATAGACGAGGCGCCAGCTGCAGAGGGGTTTTGTGTCAAAAGCAGAAGAGTGGATTAAGGAGAAAGCGTCCGCTTGTGTTATGTCTGGGGAGTGAGGCGCTATTGACATGTGAAAGACAGTGACGGTGAGGAGGGTCAGGAGGAGTTCACCTCGCTGAGCTCACAAGTACAAGTGCTGCACATTTCTCTGACAATTTTTTTGAGGTGAAGCTAGTACTTTAAAACTACAGTGTTGGCCAAAACAGCTTCTATTGGTTAACAGTAACTTTGTGGTTTGTGGTTTATCCTTCCCCTTGACACATTTATGGACTTTGTAGTATTTTTGTGTGTAAAATGATGAGTGTATTTATAGTATATGTTTATAAAGTGTATGTTTTCGATTTTATTATTTGGAACATCTAGGATACACATTTATGGTGCTGCTGTAGAAGTTGTCTACACGAAGACGTCAACCGCGTTGGAATGACATTGACAAGAGCAAGAGAGCCGCTATAAAGAAAAGGGCTAGCTTCTGTTTTTGTTAAAAGTTGAAGTATCCGTCTCACCCCGTCACTATGACAACTCCAGCAGATAGGAGTGAAGACTGACAAAGCAGGTGAGGCAAAGTAGCATACAGAGGAATGTCATTCAAAGTGCCTTATAGAGATTGAGGTGAAGGACAAAAAAAGCGAATGAAATGTTTTCACAGTTTGAGCTTTCGTAGTTACCATCACTATAATTAAGAGGAAGATGAAAATGAAGACCAGTTCCAAAAATGTCAATGTCACAAGTGATTAAAAGCTTGTTGACATATAACTTGACATTCATTTATTTGGTTGGATAAAAACAAGGCAAAAATGTTAAACAAGTCAATTGATTTTTTAAATACAAAAGTTCCAAACCAGATCATAAATAAACTCTATTCACATATTATTTATAACAGCTTCACAAGAACTGGTCTAAATGAACAAGAACTCCTCAACTAAAACCAAAACTATTGATTTTCACCCAAACAAAAAAAATTATAAATCAAGAACAAGACAAAATCTTTCTTAAAATGAATGCAAAATACAACATTTTCCACACTCTTATGTAGAATAAATACCCTCTTCTTTTCATGTTAAAGATGGCTTTCTGATTTTGTTGTCTGGTTGGTTGGTAATCATTTTTATTATGGCAAAACATGAACATAACTCACTGGCTAAAGATTTGTCGTTTTCTCTGCTTTTAAAAATAATGTTGCTGATTTACCAGAGATTCTTCACACAGCAGATATAAGACTCCGTTGTGTTGATTCTAGCTAGAGGAGGGCGTCATTGAGCCCTCAATGATGCCCTCCTCTAGCTCAGTAACTGTTTGTGTCACACCATTTTGCGTAAACAATCCGTGATGTCTAAGAAAAATGCTCGCTATTATCCAGGATTTTTTTTTTCTTTTGATAATGTCTTTGTAAATTTGCAGGGAAAACTCCAGCTTGCCTTAGCAACTATGTTAGCAACACGTCTGCTCCTGTTTCGGCACAAAGCTAACCCCATCAGAACAAATGCCCATATTAGCTCCCACTGGGTTATGGCAAACACATAGACTACTTATATACGGTCTATATGTTGAATCCATATTATCTGACCATGTACGGCGGGGGGCACCTTTACAACTATTGAATTGTGAGATGAAGAGAGTTTGTGTGTGTTTTCATAGTGTGTGGGATAGTTTCTGTAACAGAAATTAATTGACCTGGTTTATGCCATAAGATACTAAAACTACTAATACTAAGGTATTAAAACATGATTCATAGACTGTGACAAACAATACTTTTGGTGGATCTATACTGTCTATAAATCTGTTTGCACCTGCACAGCATCATTGGGAAATTCCAGGGGCACCGGGGGTCCGAACACGAGCTCTTCAATCACAGCTGTGTACCTACCAAAAACATTTTTCAAGCAAAAAGGAGACAGAAAAGAGAGTGAACTCGGTGACAGAAAGTTCAGCCACTCTATGCTAGGAGACGATGATTACATTATGTAACCAGTTTTATTATTTTGACAAGTGATCCATCCACAGGGGGAAATTGCTTTGACACGGCAGCTCACACACATATAATGTAATAACAAAGGACTTAACAGGATTGCAATTCAAGTAGCAAAACTTCAGAGAAGGCTCAAATGTAGATGTATCGAACAATGTTAAATGATGTGTGTTTTGATTTCTTGTGTTACAGACTTGGCTCAGCGACCACTCCATTCCAAACGCATAAGTACGTGCATTCGGTGCGCCTATAATCAGAGTGGTAATGATTCACTTTGCTGAATCTATGTCTGATTATAGATTGAAACCTTCCCTGAACAAATCCTCCCTGTACAATCCCTTCTATAAATCATATTACTGATTAAACCAATTTTTTTTTTTACGTTCGATGATTGTGATTTTGCAACATCGATCCATGGTGCAACGTACAACACCGTTCCTTTATCCTCCACCCCCACTGTCCCCCTCCATAATTTGTCTTTGATCAATAGCCTTTCATGTAAATGCACAACTCCAATGTAATTCCTTTTCAAAAAGCTTTTTATCCATAGTCATTTCAGCCCTCTGCTCTGTCTTCTAGTAGCTATTATTGATAGCATGATTATCCAAAATCATGCTATTTTCCTGGATAATTATAGGAAGTTATTAGACATTATCCATTTCCTGTTCCCACTGCCCATCTGTTGGTTTTTTATTACTGTTTACAAACCATGGTTACTATGCAATCAATCAGGATCAATGTGTTTACCCAGCCACATGTGTACACATAGAAAGGACAAGAAATTGCTCTTGATAAGACCCTGTCAGAGTGTAATGTAGGACTTTACTTATTAAGCAGCAGTAAACCAGTCATTTATGCTTTTAAGTAGTTTGTTTTTGTTGCTCGAATCTATTTGAGAGTATAGCGTTTCATTGTACATGCTTCTTGTCCAATAATTGTATTTATTATATAATCTCTCTATTTTTAACTGATTGTTTTCAAGCTGATTTAAACTGTTTTTGTGTGCCAACTTCTTTTGTATTTGAAGAATTATTGCATGCTTTACCTCAAACACTTTCTTTTCATTCCCTTGCCAAATAGATCACTTTTATGGATAATATTTCGGACTCCAAAAAAGCTGCATTGGATTATGTTTGTAAAAATACCCAGTGTGATACCCAGTCGGAGATTTAAAAACAAAGACATGTATGCTTAAGCATAAGCATAAGAATAGCAATTACAAACTCGGGAAATCTGTCTAAACAGTTTGCTTTCATCACTAGTTTTCATAGGTATGTATTTTTGGACGCACATCTTTCTGAGCGACAAGTGACAAAGAAACTCAGCCAAACAGCTCTCGGCATGTAAACTTTTTTTTTTTCAAGACCCTTTCTGTATTTATGAAACAAACTAAAAATGTTTAGCCTTCCACGGCGACTGCCATCATTAGCCTGAACGGGCTCGCGGACCACAGTACTCGCAGGTCACCCAATAGCTATTGCGGTGTTTCAGAATCATACTGTCCCTCAAAATTATCAGTATTTCTGTTAATGGTACTATTGATCGCCCAGCCCTATTCCAAAATTAATTTATTTCTATTCAACTTAAAATATGAAACCAATATATGCTGTAAACATATTACATGCACGGTGACAAAGGCCAAGTAATTTTGATGACTATGGTTTAAAGTCCGCAAGCAGTGAGCCAGTTATCAACACTATAACAAATAAATGTGTGATATATTGAACTTTGCCTGTAATGAGCAGCTTTCTCCATTCACATTGTAAGTTGAATTACAGAAGGAAATTCAAATACTCTTCAAATGTTCCTATTTTTTCTAATTCCAAGTCAGCCAGTTGAAGTGCTCTGTGCAGACGAATAACAACTTGTGAGAAGAAACTGTTTGCGGACAATAATTAATACATAAACTCCACTTTATTATGAGGTGTCATAACACAGCCTTCAAACTGACCAATGCCCAGAAATACACGTCTCACCAGATAAAGTCCTGACTAGTGAGCGAGCGGAGAGTTAATCACAAAGGACGTTTTCTTCCACATTCAGAGAGCTGTCGTCCTCCGGGTGAAAATACCTTCCCAAAGAGCAGTCAAGGTGTGAGTCAATCAGAATGACGGGTCGGCCACAGCTAATCAAGTCTGATATGAGAGCGCCAGAAGATGTGGGTCATAGCTCCAGGACGCCTCTTCTGTTCCTTAAAGCCGTTATGACAGATACTGACCAGTGCAGACCGAGAACACTGCTATGATTCATCCACGTACTTATGTGATTCAGTCTCATAACTACAACTGCAAGGTCAGGCGTTTAAGGCACTTTATTGATCTTGTGGAGGAAATTACTCAGTTGCCACAGCACAATTTTATGTTGAACAACAAACATGAAAACATTCACACTTCATGGTCATCGTTTTTGTAAAGTTGTTTTGTCAATTTAGGGTGATGGCCAAAATCAACGATTTACAATATTTTAGAATATAGGTAAACTACAAAAAATAGTTTTCAAGCTAATTTGCAATGATGAATAGAGGCTTCCTTTCTATTGTTTTTGTTTTTTGTAGTTATGAGTGCATTGCATTTTGGATCAGCTACGTGTTGCATAATAGATTTAGTTGCCCTGCCATGCTAACACAAAGTACTCAAACAAACCAGAAGCCGGTCGTTAACTTATTTGTATGTACTAACATTTGTCTGTGATTAGGGCGAAATGACATAATAATAAAAATGATAATTCTGTCATGAATGACTTGTGCATAATTGTATTTACATATTAACTCCACCAAAATAAATAGATTATATATAATATATATGAGAGATATATATATAGAGAGAGATAGTTAGGTATCTGTAACAATATAAAAATCACAAAAAAGTTGTGTTGATAATTGTCAATTGTCTTGGTCCAGACTTTGATTGATGACTCTTTTACTCAGTTGTAAATGTATATTTCCAAATTATATTTTTTTGTTAAGATTTAAATTCAAACTATTAGCCATTTGCAGTTTTAAACCACACATTAGTGCCATTTTACCCAGTGTGTGTAAAACACAACAACTGAAAACATCCATAGCTTGTCATTCATTCACCGCCCATCAGCAGGAGTTTAGCTTGGGTTATTCACTTACCTGTCAATGCTCATTATACATTTCCTGATCCGTGTACAGTGCAAGGACACACTGACCGTAATCAGAGCGGAGGACTTTTGGCAGCGCGGACACATCCTGCTGAATAATTGGCAAAAACAAAACGAATCCTCCAGGCGCTGGGTGTCAACACCGGCGGTCGGTGGTGACGTGTCCCGCAGAGTTCCACATTGTTTTTATTATATTCCACCGCCACGTGTGACCGGTCAAATCTGCTGCAGGACAGAGCTCGCATACAGCGTAGCTTTGTTGACAGCATGTGCCACTGTCAGGCTGATGTGAGAATCATTTGCACATCGTGATTCCATATGGTGGCTAATAGTGAGCGCCAGGGAAGTGTTTTATTGGGTTTAGAAGATGCAGCTATCCTTGGTTTAACGTAGTGAGATTCACATTTTTCCACATAGAATTTGCCTTGACATGAGTAGAATTCATATAAATCTGTGTTGTGTTAAAGCTGGGGTACATAACGTACATGAAATAAGTTTTGCAGGTAAAATGTTATCTCCATTAGCTTTTAGAAAACAATTTCCTGACTATTTGCACACCCAGAGTGATCATATTGAGGCCGAATTTACATTTCGCCATTGCTAGATCAATACAGTGGTATCTTATCTTAACATTGAATTTGTCCTACTTGTAAGAAAGAGCCATAGCGATTGGCTGAGTGTATTTGAAAATAAATACTGAGAGCTAGAGAGCTAGAGCTAACAAACATGTTTTAAGAGATGATGTATATAGATGGATTTTATTGCATAGCTAAATATTTTTTCAGTTTGAAAGTTAGGTACCTCAGCTTTCACCTTTAACTGAGAAAGTAAGACATGTTGTAAAGAATTTTCACATTTTCAACACCAGAAATGAGTCAATCATTTTGAATAAACATAATCTTATGTTTCTAAAACACCCCTCGTGGGGTTATTATCAAAAACTAGATCATATTTACTGAAACTAGTAACGAACAAGATTATCATTGGATTATGCAACAATTCAAATACAAAGGACAAATATGGGCTTTTTCTGAGCAATTTTAGAATCGTTTTAAACTGATATAAAACCATGTGACACTATCATAATTTTTTAAAAAGAGGCATACTTTATTTTCCCCTATTGATATTTTTGCTTTTGACCCTTCCTTCAATACCACTAGGGTAATCTGTCAGTTCAAGCTCTTGGTCAGGACTGGTGGATTTTACTTTTTGGGTGGTGGGAAAAACTGGATCACCCAGTGGAAACCCACCCAGACAGCAGAAAAACTCCACACAGAAAGACCTGGGGTGATACAGGATCATCATTATCAAAATCCAATACAAAGTCTATTCATTACATGGGTTAGTGTTTTTTGTACATTGTGACCATGGACTGTGACAAAGCAATGATCCCGATAACACTACAGACCGCAGGCATCATAACCTTTTCTCGTCTATCTGGGAAACAAACCGAAGGTGTTAATGACCTAATTGGATTTGTTGTCGTATGGTCGCCTTGGTGACCGAGACGAGCAGAGGTTTTGAATGATCAAACACCGAGCCGGGTGCGCTGCTCTCTCAGTCACTGCATTTACATGTCCATCGACAGAAAGCATTCGATGATTCTCCATTAGCGCCGCACATTTCACTGCTGCTGCTTTTGCTGTTGCTGATGTCTCCAATGTTTCAGTCTGAATTATTAACCACTCACATCGAACATCTTAGCCTTATTCTGTTGCTTCTGTTTTTGACATCTGCAAAAGAGTACAACCACCAGTCAGGCTGTGCACTCTTGCAGATGCCAGTAGATTTAATGTCATGCATGTACAAAGAAAGTCCATAGGTTGAGCTGTTTCCAGTCGGCAGGTCATTTCTGTGGTAAAAGGACAAGAGGTGACTTCACTTTGGGAGGAAAAACACCCATTTTATAATCCTAATCCCACATATACGACACTCTTCAGGCACTTAATCTGCTATTTATTGCTTCGCAGAATAATTCTCTATCTATTCTTTTTTTATATATCAATTGTGTATTATAAAGATTCTCTTATTTTGTATAATATAAAATTGACTGCTTTGACATAAAATATAGTAACAAGTAACATTACACATTTATTTTAACAATTATTATAGATGATAAATAAAGGAACAAAACCGGTGACTGCATCAATGGGCAAGCAGTGAGGCTGGGCGAGAATGTATATTATATGAAGTTATTGATTTTAATATTGAGGCCCAAAAGTTGTTTTTTCATGAATCATTTAAAGAACGGTGAGTCGATATTGTGACTGCTCGCTAGTCCATTGCAGCTTTAGATTTGACATTTCCACTGTACTGTATCTTGCATATGTCACCAACCCCCTGGTGCTGTGATCCTCGTGGACCTGCTGTCGTTGCGTCTCACCAAAGTGCTTCCTCCATGTGTCTTTCAGGCGGGCGTCGATCGGAGCCAGACGAGGCGGAGCTTCTGAAGGTCAGCAAGCGGCTGGTGGAGGACGCCATCACCCGGGCGTTACAACAGTACAAGCAGGAAACACTCCAGAACGGGGGAGGGCCTAACGCCACGGCGACGGAAAGCAGCCAGGACACGAAAACAGACACTATGGCGAACTCTACCTCGGACCACGGAAAGTGACGCCGTTAACCTCACGGGGCAGAGACTAAGAGAGCAGCCGCCCAGAGAGCAGACCGACGGATCGCCTCAAACAGCCTCCTCACAAAGGCGTGATGTGGCGCCGTTAATTACACTATAAGCGACTCCACGACGGTATCTGACTAAGATGTTTCTCTCCGTCCTGACGCACTTTAGCTCGTGCGACTCACAAAGCACTCCTCCATCTAGACGCCCACCAAGGGTTCACTGTGACCTGCCTCCTCTAACTGCCCTTTTAGAGAAGAAACTACAGCTGTATGAACTTTCTAAGACTTTAATATGTTTTCAAGATGTGTGTGTGATTTATTTTCCCGAGGAGGAATTTCAAAAGAATAGCAACTACAGCTATGATTGATTCTATTGAGCCTTTGCCGGCTCACTTTTGTTGAATATTTACAACTCTTTGGTTTAGCTGTCTTTTTCTAGGCTTACAATTGATGCTTGTAATTTTGCTTTTGCTCTGCTGCGACATTAATCACGACAATCATGGAAAGATTTCACTACTGTTTGTCTATAAAAAAAGATATAGCACAGGCCACTATTTCCATTAAGTTATGGGGGCGGTAGATACTAAAATAGCAAGCGATTTCTCGAAACACTAAGAGCTGCCAGGATGGTCCTTCCATGTTTCCATTTCAAACCGTTGCTTTTACATGAGCTAATAATGAAGTATGGTTTAACTTGAATGATTACATTTAAACATTGTATTTACTCTGTTAGTTTAAAATGCGAGAAGAGCTGAAAGTATTGTAGCTGGCATGTGAGTGGTTTGTACATGCGGTGGATGCCAAGCCGTTTTTCATCTGGGAATGCTAATGTTGCGGAGGTTAATCCGAGACAATAGCCTCGAGTGGTTGAATTTTCAGGGTCTTCCGTCTCGCGCGTTCTCCTCTCGTTATGTATTTGGCCTTTGTGCGATGCTAAGTCTAATGCCAATGCTTTAAATCCACTAAAGAAAGTTGAAAGCTTTCCCCACTGTGGGACTAATAAAGAATCTCTTAAAGCAGCACATGTTTTAAAGGAGAGATATTACGCAAACTTGACTTTTATGAGCTGCAACATTGATCCGTATCAAAAGTTGTTTTTAGATTCATCGTATCAGGAACTTCTGGCACAAACACGTAACTCTGCCCCTTCTGCCTAAAAGCCTTCGTCTTACTCATGGATCTATTGTCTCAGTCGTGTAATAGTATGTTGCCTCTACGTCACACTCTTTAAAACAAAAGTATTGTCCATAAAATAGTTTTGGTAACTGTTCAAGTGAAATAACGGTCTTTTCAACCGCATGGCTGTGTTTGCTGCTGGTTATTTCTGAATTGAAAAAAAGAAAAAGACTTAATTCGATATTTATTTTATTCGATAATCCAAATATTTTCTACCGATGATATTGTTTCACATTCTGAAACAGAGCTTGTCAAAGTGGTTCCAGACAGGTCCGGTTTCCTCGGGTCGTCAGGCTAAGTCTGGACTCACATAAGGCAATGGGTGGAGTGTGCTGTGCTCCTGATTGGTTGGAAGTAAAACCTGCAGCACTACGTACACTGGCTTCTTGAGGACCGGTTTGATGCCTCTGTTCCAAAAATATGAAATGACAGGGTAAATTAAAATAGAAAAAGTCATGCATAATATTTCTTCTTTAACCCCCATTTTACAAATATCAAAAGTCAACGTTTTTATTATTATTTAAAGAGAAAAGCACAATTATATGTTGGTTTCATAACTGTCTGTATATTTGTTTTTTAAAGCAGGTAATTTTTAGATGCTGTTGAATCACCTCTGCTCAAAGTGGCCTTCACTCCGTCACAGAAAAGTATGATTTTTTTGAACGTTCGAGTCGTGTCTATTTGTAAAAGAACTTTTCGTCATTGTCTTAAAGAGACTGAGAGAGTTTGAAATCAAGTCATAAATGCCAAAGTTGTAAATGTAAATGTAAATACTAACAGAATACAGTGGTTTGCATTTTTCTAATGAGTTCAGAATAGATTTTATTAACGTATTAGAATAGATAACTGTGACACTGCTTATGGAGCAGGTCAAAAAGGAAGCGATTTAGATTATTATATTTGGTTTAGTGTTTTAAGATGTTACTTTGTTTTCAAATTCAACAGCACATTATAATACAGGTGAAACTACAAAATTCAGAATATTGTTGATTATTTCTGTAATTAAAGTTAAAATATGAATCAAATACATGATTTCATTGCACACAAAGTGACAAATGGCAAGACTTTGGTTTTTTTTTATGAGAATAGTTTACAGTCCGATGTCATTTATTAGTGTCACTTTGTAAGTTAAATGACAGAAGTAAATGGACTTTTGAAGGATGTTCTAAGTTCTAAGTGTCACCTGTAAAATTACTTCTATTAATTATTTTTTCTGCAAACCATTCCCTTCTGTTTCAGTTTACATTGTACGTTGTCCCAACTTTTCAAAAATGAATTTCAAGAAAAAGTTGGTTGTTCTTATAAACTATTATTATTTGTATTATCGCTTGCTGTGCCAGAGCAGATAGAAACACTAAATCTCACATGGAATCTCACACATTTCCAGGTTCCAGCAGAATAAACAGGATGAAAAAAACACTTCAAAGCAGATCATTATGTAGTGGACGTTTGATTATTTTATGCTTTGATCTTTTTATATTGTCACCGGATCCTTAAACTCCAACAAGTCCCCTTTAATACACACTTTTTTCTCGTGTTGTGTGAATGTTGACTTGGACCTGTGTGAGCGCGTGTGTGTGTGTGTCTTATATATTTGTCTTTCCATGGGCTCGTGTATTGTGTGTAAGTATATCCCAGGCTGCTGTTTGTTCTGTGCTGTACCTTGTTCTGCCACATTTGAACAATAAAGCCGGATATGAGTTTCCAAGTCAATATTCTTATCTGCCTGAAGTCTGTGGAGAGACAACACAAACATCAAGATCGGATCGTTTGACAAGGTTCACATGCTTACTGCTTTCTAAATCCTTTGGGGTAAATATTTTAATCCATGAAGGTAATTATTTGTAATCATTTAATCTTTCTATTTACCTTTGTCCATTCAAAAAGGGTTGGGAAGGATGAAAAACATTTTGAAAAGGATCTTTACATACTCTAAAATAGATCAACATGAATTAGTTGTGTGACAAAATCTAAAAAAAAGTACAATTGAATAGGTTATGTTCTAGATTGCAATGAATACGGCAGGTGTCGATACAATTCTATGCAAATAATTTTTTTTTTTAAGAAATGTTAAAAAAATAATATAATCAATTGTTTCCACATATAATTTTTTGATAGTTATAGAATCCATCCATCTATTTTCTTCTGCTTCATCCATTGCCGGGTCGTGGGGGAAGCAGTGTCTAAACAGAGACGCCCAGACTTTCCGATCCACACTCGGACTTCCTAACCAGAAGACTAGAACATACTGATTTTTGACTAAATTTTTGACACTTACTACAGTTACAAGCAAAGACGTTACAACTGTTCGCCACAATCTCAAACTATTGGCTCTTTGGAGAGTTGTGATGTCACATGGAGGCAACCTATATATATCTAAATGGCCTAATGGACATTGACATTATTTACGATTATTAAAGACTAATGTACAGTTACTATTGCTATTCAAAAAAAATGTTACACAGCTCAAGTTGATCATACAAACTTTGATGCTGTCATGGTTTGAATGACCTGGATTCTTTCCCAGGGTGCATTGCAGTTGTTACATAAACCCACTGTTATTAGAACTGTGCTCTTGTGGAGTTGTAATACATGCAAACAGGTTGAGTCACATATAGTCCACTGCACGAGCCGCCGCCGCCGCCTTGTTATAATAAATGTTATGGTAAGTACTTTCTTTGAACAGGGACGGTGAACAATTAAACATTAAAGAGGCTAATTCCTTCTTGTAGTCCCTGTAGATATCCCTGTAAATAAGTAAGTTTATTTATTTAGCGTCACAATTTGAAAATAGAGTAAAAATAGTACACACATACAATAGTGCACATACAAAAGGAATTTACAGAATAATCATAAACACAGTTAAGATAGGACTATGTAGTGAGGTAAGAAACCCTGCCTACACAAAAAGGTCTTGAGTTGCGACTTTTGATTGTCCATTGACTCAAACATGCGCAGAGACAGGGGAAGCTCATTCTAAAGGCGAGGAGCAACAGCCTGGAAGGATCTGTCTCCTCTAGTTTTAAAGGTGATTGCAGGGGGACCATATAATATATAAAATCCATGGTCCAGATGATGATGTCTGATCAGTGTTAAAAGACAATTGAAAATGCAAATGTTCAGACCTGTCCCCTACACTTCCCGCCTCCTCCGCAGTGACTTAATTTTCCCGCTGTAACCCCTGCCACGAGTCACGACTGCGTAGGTAGGCCCTCAGCTTTATTGGCCCTCCTCTTATCTGCTTTTTGAGTCTGTAATCGGCTTTTATTTCTATCTGGACCGCTGGACTTTGATAAGTTGAAATGCAAGTCCCCAATGCACTGAGGTAATTCTCCTCAGCACAGTCCATTGATGTTAAAAAGGCTGCCTTAGAGACTGTCACGCTGGCCCTTTAAAGGGGGCGGAGCTTGGACCACCGGAGACCTGCGTGCGCCCTGCATGCACAGAGCGAGAGAGAGGAGTGGAGCGAGCACATCTTACTTTGCCGTGTCTGAGTGTTTTCATAAGTTTAAGTTAAAGTTTGCAGTAGTTTGTGTGTTTAATTCAAAGGTGTGCGTTATAAAAGTAAGTACTGTGTATGGAAATGTTTAGTTAAGTGTAGTTTCATAGTTATCAGTGTTTTTACTGCTAATTGATGCATGCGCCCATCACATGGCCATCACGTGGCTCCTCTGTTTAGAGCGATGAGCGCGGCGCTGCACTATTACATGTTTGTAGATGTGGATGTAATATGTTAGTGTGAGTTGTTAGTCTTTCCACTAATATATAATTATTGTATAGTAAGTTCAGTGTGTTATTGTGAGGATGTGAATATAATTT